GGATGAGCCTTGAAAACATGCTAAATGAGAGAAGCCCAAGAAAGCATCCCGTTCCATTTATTTGAAATTTCCAGGAAAGGCAAAGTTACAGATTCAGAGAGTAATTCACTGGTTGCCAAGGTGGGGAAGAGTTCTGAGACTGACTGCTCCTCATGGATGTGAAATTGTTTGGGAATGGAGGCAATGTTCATAACTTAGGTAGTAGTGACAATTACAGGGCCCTGCAAACCTAGCTATTTCTAGCACATTCAAGAAACCACTGAACTATAAAGCTATAGACAGTGAAGTCACTTACAGCTGTGCTTGTCTGACTTTGTCAAATGCATCTTCTTACCACCCCAAAATGCTACACATAATGCTTGGTAAACAACTGGAGGATGGATGAATGGATAGATGGATGAATTCATAAGAATTCTTGTCAGTGTGCGAGGAATTTCTTGGTAAGTGCTGAGGAATAGATGTGAAGAATAATGGCCAGGAATCGAACCTCTGTCCTTCTAGTCACTCATTTTGATGGCGCAGCTGTCTTGTCAATTGATCTGATGTCAGCCTGATGGAATCATGTTGTCCTTTGACGTCAGTGGGATGGAGGGGGAAGGGCTTTCTTTTTTTCTTCTTTTGAATGATGTTGGCAGAACACTTCAGCAACTGTACACTATGTGGATGCTGTGTGACACTATTGCTCTGTTGTGACCTTTGTCTTTATGAGCTGTGAGAATTAAGAACCTACCAGTTTTAGTTTAATTAAGCAGCAAGACACAGCAGATGGTGCATTTGTGTGTGATGATTGTGTTCCTCTGGTTCCCTTAAGCAGCGCTCTACCCTGTGGTATGCTGTGCCTAGAATGTCACATCACAGTGACAAATCTGCTAGGAAGATGGACACATGGCAGTGGTGCCAACAGAAGACCTTGGAGGACCTGGACACTACAGAAAATTCTAGAATTAGCTATGAACTGAACTATAATATTAGGAGGAGGAAGCGCTAGCTGTATGGTTGTAGCATATTACCATTCATCCATTCCAATATTTACAAATAAAGTATATGAAGGTTTTCATTACCCTGGTGTTGTTTTGTGTAATCTGGGGCAGGCATTAAGAATGCATTGGAATATGATTTGCATGTTTTAAAGTGCTGAGAGAAGATTGGCTAGACAGAGAAGCACTGATTTTATGTCAGATTGTTTTATTATGTTTGCTTTTAGTCACTACTGAGGGCCAAGAAGTGTCCTATGGTAGACATTTTCCCCTGGTACTATGTGCTTACTGCTAGAATGTTTACTCTGATGGTGTTAAAAGCATGCATAAGTGAAGGGAATATGGAATGAATCCAGCACTTTCTTTCCACTGATCATGCAGCCTTCCAGGAGGGAAATTCAATTGTTAAGTAGAACCACTTTCATTGTTAAGGGAGATGCTATTCGTCTAGTTCAAACTCTTTCCCCTTTACTATCTTTGAAAAACTGAATTACTTGAAAGCTGGCATAAAACTTATAATTGCACAATATTTTAGATCCTAAGATAATATGCCTCAGTTTTTTCTCATTAATGCAATATATGAAATCATCAAAATAAAATACATTCACTTACTTGCTGTAATGTTGTTAAAAGCATGAACTATGTGGATCTTCTAGAATATAGCAATAGTTACTTTAGACAGAATAATCCATTTGTCTCATCTTACGGAGACTAGATTGGAATCCTAGTTAAATCATGAACTTCAAAAATAATACTTTAATCAGAGCATGCAGTTTCTCTTTGGTCAAAGCCCACATTTTATGTTGAAAATAATTCCCCTGAGATTCTATAAAGAAACTCATCCTCTGACTTTTAAGAATGTTGTCAGCCACAGAACACACGCCTCCATCGTCCTTGCAGAAAACCTATTTGGCAACTCAACTTTCATGTTTAGCTGAATGAAGCCTTTCTCTCGAAAGTATACCACAGGATACTCGAGCATTTAAGATAAAGCTGAAGGTGTAAACAGTAATTTTTGCATTTTTCGTCATAATAAAAGACAGTTAACCTTTACTTAGAATTTACCAGCATGTAATAAAGGGAAATATGTGCACACATACCTTTCAGCAGAGGAAATACAAAATAATAACTGACTTCAACCCACAAATTATTAAAATCTAGGGGGAGAGAAGTTAAAATTATTTTTATGTGGGAACAGACTTTATTGCAAAATCATTTACAGAACTGGATCTCCTTCTAATTAAAACAGACAGAGGGACTAGACTGCTTCTCACTTACCATGTATGGATGCTTTGCCACTCCTATGACTCTGTTAAACACAAATGGGTGGCAGGTATCAGTAACTAACTTAAAATTATGCCTGATAGCCAGGCAGTGGTGGCGCACGCCTTTAATCCCAGCACTCAGGAGGCAGAGGCAGGCGGATCTCTGTGAGTTCGAGGCCGGGCTGGACCTACAAGCTCCAAAACAATACAGAGAAACCCTGTCTCGTAAAACCGAAAAAAAAATTATGCCTGATAATTTTAGGATGATACCGGAATTTTTTCCTAGAACTGATATTATGCTAATCCTCCATGATCACCTTTCCCTTTAATAGTGATCTGCTTCACATTATTTTTGCCTTAGAGGAGAATTGTGATTTAACCAATAGCTGACAAATCTGGTCTCGGGCCTTGATCTATTCTGAGCAGCTGAACTCTTGTGCAAGAAGAACAAAGGATTTTGACTCAGCAGTTTGTGTTCAGATGCCAACATGCTAAATACTTACTATGTCATTTAGGAATTCCTCATGTCTGTAAAGGAGCCCTCCCATAGTGATTTTTTTCTTTGCATGCCTGTATATATCCGTGCATATATGTATGCATGTGAGTGCTCATAGAGACCAGAAATCAATACCCAGATGTCAGGAAGGTGGGAAGGATGTGCATATATGTACACATGTGCACATTAGTGCGTACAGAGACCAGAGTCAACACCCAGATGTCAAGAAGGTGGGAAGTTCTGTCTTTACTGGGGTCATGTTAAAGAGAGGTGCTCTGTTTCCAAGAATGCAAGAGAGAAGAGATATTTGCTAGGCAGCTAGTATTCTCCTCCATAGTGACCTTAGGCAATTTAATCTCATTGTACCTCAGCTTTCTTGTCTCTCAAAATGGTCATAAAAACAAGATCTAATTCAGGATCCTGTTGTTTGTGGTTGTCATTGGATTTAATGCATCTAATGTGTTTAGCACAATGCCAGGCATGTTATAAGTAAGCAGTAAATGTTAATTATTCCTATTTCTTTCTACTTCTCCAGTAGCTCTAGATAAATGTTGTGTAGATATTTAAAACTTGAAGCATTCAGCTGTATTACGTTTCCTCGCTCCACACTTGCCTGCCCCTACAAGATGGGGAACCTCAGAACCATCTTGGAATACGTGCTTATCACATTTCTGTACTTGGCAATCATAAACTCATATGTACGAATAGTTCTGCCCATGGTGTCTTCCCATTCTGTTCCTTTTTATGTGTTCACTATTTAAGCAGAAGCTGCCTCCATGCCTTGCTATCATCTCACTGTGGTATTAAAGTTTTATCTTAATTAAGCCACTTTTCTAGCAACACCCGCCCCCAATGCAACATGTCTGTGTACTCTGTACCTCATTGAAAACTGACTGTTCTCCAAGTAAGGCCTTGTGGCTCTAGTTCTATCCTCAGGGTAAATTTTTATGAATTTTCAAGTTGAAACAGGAACAATAAAGTGCAGATTTTTTTCCTCCTATAATTTGGAATATTTAGTTGTGGTTTTTGGAAACTTCTTATGATTTTGTTTCTTAGACCTGTAAGTAGGTAGACTAGCACTCTCTCATAGCTGAGTATCTAAATGTATACATATGAAGGCCTGGCATTGGTGGCACACGCCTTTAATCACAACACTCAGGAGGCAGAGGCAGACGAATCTATGTGAGTTCGAAGCCAGCCTGGTCTACAGAGTGAGTTCCAGGACAGCCTCCAAAACAGTACAGAGAAACCCTGTCTCAAAAAACAAAAAACAAAAAACAAAACAAAAAAAAAAGTGCACATATGAAGGCATGAAGGAACAAAGGATTCTTAAGTAGAAGGAAAGGATGAGGGGAACCATCCTTCTAATGGATGGGTTGGTTTGTTCAGCAGTTCTCAGAGAATAGGTTGAGAGCCAGAAACTCATTATTTTTTCTTTGCAAAACAATAGCATTGGTTTGAGTACTTTAATGTGAATGCTATGAATGCATTTTGCTTTCATGTAAAGAATAGGGACGGTTAGCTTTCTCTCTCTCTCTCTCTCTCTCTCTCTCTGTGTGTGTGTGTGTGTGTGTGTGTGTTATAATAGGCTGTGTAATATAATTTCAAAGCCCTCTGAAGCAGTATTTTGAAGCTAAGTTGGTCATACAATTAAAACATATCTTTGGTCATAGATTGCTTGGCCTTGTGCCATCTTCATAGGCACTGTCCTACTTACATAGCCTGGATTGGCTGAGAAAAATAATTGCTGCTATGAAATAATTTTGCAATTACCACTGTAATTAAGGGCAGTTTGTTAATGAAAGTGCTTGGTGAATAATGACTGCAGGGCACTCCATCTTGCAGCTTCATGCCAGATGATTGGTTCGTGTGGTGGAGGCAGTTAGGGAATTAGTGACACAGCTGTCATGGTTACAGGATGGATGTAAATATCCTTTGCAGTTGATGATGAAGAGCAGTCATTAGCCTCCTGCCCCTTGGGAACTGGTCAGAAGAACAAAAATAAACTTAACACATGATGGTAAAAGCCATTCCTTATGTCTCCTTTTCTTTGGTATGAACAATTAACATTCTAATGGAAACCGCTGGGAGCACATGGGTGAGCTCTCTCCACTTTTTAGGCATGTTAAGGTGATAGATGCGCCTCCTCGTCGGCATTGGTTGTTCACAGTTTATAACTGCTCTTATTAGCTTATAGGCCAGTATAAAACTGCTCGTTAGAGACTCGCAGGCCCCAATGAAATTTTTCTTGTTCATCTCCAGGTGTTGTGCATTCATATCCACCACTTGAAGAGTGCCTTGGATGGAATTCTGCATGCCATCTTCATGACTGTGGGGGCAGTTGATGATCAGTTTCCTGTTTGGGCTTACCTTCCTGTATAAATACGATACTGATAGGTGAAGAAGGGCAGGCTGGCTGCTGACGCCTCTTTACCCTGTACTCTAGGAAAAGTTATTGTTTAAGGTTGAGGATTTTTTTTCCCTCTCCCTTAAAGTCAGGTGTTTAAGTGTACTTCGTATTCATATTCATTCCACTTCCTTGGTGTTTTGATGTTTTTATTGTAAATTTGCTTAAGCAATCTTTGGTGGGGTAATTTCATAATATGCACACACTGTGGTTTTACACGGAGTTGTTCGTGATTTGCCGCTCATTAGCTTGTGTTGACTAAAGTCAGAGTAGCATGTAGCATTGCTTCCACTTTGTGTTGCCGTGGCGTCCTTCTTACTGTTTCCCGAAAGATGCTAGTAGGGCTGAGGAGATGGCTCCCTGGATAAAAGCCCTTGCTCTACAACCATGAGGACCTAAGTTCAAATCCCTTAGAACACGGGTAGAAGACTGAGCATAGTAACCTGTAATCATAGGATGTGGGGGAACTCTGCGACCTGCTGGCCACCAGCCTAACTACAGAGTTAGAGAGAACAGGACACCTAAAATCTTGTTCTGCCCTCCTCTTCTGCACACACTAGCACACACAAGTATGTATACACTATGTACACCACCCTCTCCAGGAAGCACATTTCACTGGTGCTAACAAGCCCCTGCCTAGGGCTGGAAGCACAGCTTGACTGCGGTGTTGGCACAGGTCAAGGATGAGCTTGTTGCTTCTCATGCTAGGTATCAGTCCTTGTGTGGTGAGTGCACTTAGTGCCTCTGTATCCTCTTGGCTTTAGTAAGAACAGAGGCTATGCAAGGGGTGGGGATTGTGCCTCAGAATTTTACACCCTGTGTCCCAGACCTCTGCCTCTTCCTGTCCTCAGACTCTTCAATAGTCAAACAGGAATTGAAAAGTTCCAGCAGGCTGAAGTGCCCCAGTAGCATTGTCCTGATATCTATGACCTTCCTTCCCTACAGAGTCACCCACTTTCTCAAAATGAACTCTCTGTCTCTGTGGCCATAGATGAGTCACTATATCACCTGACAATAGTACATAAGTCAGCTACTTGTCCCTAAAAGCTACATAATGTAGCAAACTTCCCATTCTAAGCTTTAAAACTATTATCTTATTCTAATAAAAGACAATGTCTACTTGGAAGAAGAAACCATATCAGGCATGGCCATGGCTGGCGAACTCATATGGGTTGCCAGAGAATATAACTTTCTAGGGACTTCAGAGAATACCTGAGTTTCAGAAGAACCTGATCCTGGAATGTCTTCATAGTAAAACTGCAAGGGTAATTGGGAGGGAGGCACATGCACTCGCTCAGCCAGGAGCAAATAGTACTCTCTGTCTCTCTGTCTCTGTCTCTTTCTCACGCGCGCGTGTGTGCGTGCGTGCGTGCGTGCGTGCGTGTGTGTGTGTGTGTGTGTGTGTGTGTGTGTTCAGGTGTATGGGATTTTGTGGTGAGTCAAAACTCTCAATAGGAAAGGAAAATACCATTGTGTTTTGAATTGGTGTTGCTCAGATAGAGAACATGGGGACTTTATCCCCCTTTAGGAAAGATATGACAACTGCAGGATTTAGATAGTCTGTGTTTTCATTCCTGTCATATTTGGTGGCATTTTGATTTATTTATTTTTTTAACTAGCATGTGAGGTTTGTATTTGGTTGAATTTCCACAGCAGCTGTAGAGGTGTCTTCCACACAGCAGAGCGGGGTAAACACCCTCAAACTTGAGGTAGGTGACTGAGAATCTACTCACTGTCCTCTGGACCTGACTGGACCATAGCTTCCACCCAGAACCGCACTTGCCTGACTTCCCTCATTTCCTCAGAACAAATCAAGGACTTTTGATAGTTCTCCACAACATACATGCATTGTGTCCCAATCCTTCCTATTGTGGTCCTATCTGTCACAGCAACACTAATTATAAAAATTGAACATAAATTTGTGCTGTTTAATAGGTTTGGGTTTAATTTTGCCTCAGTGGGAAGACATTTGATTAAAAGAGTCCTTTTTCCCCCTCCGCCTTTTTCCTCTTTTCTTTTGGAAGAACAGTTAGTAAAGGCGTAGGAAATTGATTTCAGTGTCACAAAGGACATTTCTGACAGGAATGTACTTTGAAATGATTCAAGGCATCTGTTTCTTTCGCATATGCCCAACACTGCTGAGAGCTGTACCTAAATTAAACTGTTTAACGTGTCAGCTCGGAATCCGATCACAATTTACATCCCAATGGCTTGGCTGGAATTTTCAACATTTCATGAACTCCCTCCCCTAATTTACTAAACAAGTTCTTGCTCAAAGTGACCATTTGTTCTAGATGCCAATATGTCAGAGTCAGAATTGATTTAGCCTTGGAAGCTATTTGTTTGGGTATGGCCACTTTGCCTATGAGCTGGAATCATCTGTCTGTCGTTACTTCTCCTGGCACGTCTGTGGGTGATGTCGTGGTGGGTGTTTTTGTTGCTGTTTGTCTTCCACTGGTGTAATGTCTGTCAGGAAAGGTGGCTCCAGGAATTCCCATTGTCAGAGCTTCTGAGCCCAAGAATGATGTGCACTCTGTTTATGACTGTGTCTGTGGCACCCAGCATAGTACCTGGGATGCACTTATGGTAAATTGTTCATAAATGAACAGAGAAGGAACACTTGCTACACCCATGCATATAACCCTAGTATAGACCCCACTGGAAGGGCTCATTTGTCTACCTTGCTGTGTTCCTTAGAAATCAGCACTGCTCACTTCCATTAATTACACTGAAGCATGTCCTTTGAATTTTGAGGGCTGGGGCAATTATTTTGTGTGTGAGGGAACTTTTTATATTCGTAGTAGAAATAATTTCCTGGGGATAAGAAGAAAATGTGTCTGTGCTGAGGTATAATAGGAACCTGAGCTCATTAAGGTAACTATTTAGTGGTTCTTCACCCTTCTTCTTCCCTCCAGTGTCCACCCACATAATCCTCACTCACAGTTTACCAGACAGTGGAGAGTGAGAACCCAGGGAAGGGCTCCTGCTGTTGCCCTGCCTGAGTTTATAAATCTGTAGTCTACTGAAGCAGCGCTGGTGTTTGTCTGAGGCTGTCCTGGAAGACACTTGCCCTAGAGGGTCATGTGCTAGACCTTGTGGATGAGCTAGCCACTAGTGACAGGCAACAGAGAACTATCTTACACTGTCATCTCTATCTGTGGTTCTCTGGGACTTTATTAGTGGTGATAGAAAGCATGAAAGAAGTAGTGGCTTGAGTAGCTAGTGATTTTCTCTCTTGTACCTATGCTAGTGTAGCCAGGGTGTTATGTGTCAGTGGTGACCTCAGTTCTATCCAGCCACATGGAGACAGCGTTCATGGAGGCTCTGCTTCTCATGGGTTGGCTTCTGGAGCCATCTGATCACATCATTGCGACCTCCTGAAAGGGGAAAGGGAAGGTAGAAGAGAAACAGCCTTCATAGTCACTAGTCTTCGAAAGGCACACACTCCCCTTTTGCTCACAAGGCAGAGCTCTGTGACCTGAGTAATCAATGCGGGGAAAGCTGGGAAAGGAGAAAGATACTTGACTGATCAACCACATGACTGGGCCTACATGGAAGCAGAGATGGAGTTAGTAAGGTCTCTTTCACCTTCGGCTTTTCCTAACCGATTTGCCGCCTCCCATCTTTGTTTTGTGAAGTTCCACAGTTGCTGGGAGACTTTAAATACTAGGTAACGCTGCCTGCACTAAAGCTAATGCTTTAGTTTCTTTGCACCTAAGCTGTTTATAAAGATGACGTAGAAACTGGCAGCACATTTAGCTCACCTTCTCCCAGTTAATGTCAAGGGATGGGTACTTTGCATACACACATTTTCCACTTTGAAATTACTGTGTATGACTCTCAGGAACATGCTTGCTGTGGAACATTTGAATGCTCCCTCTCTAATATCTCTGGGAAGCATAGTAGAATAGGGAAATGGCGGTAGATTTGTTATCCCCCCTCCCTGTATGCTAGTCATTATACAGGAAAACCCAGAAGGTTTAATTAGTATTGCCTGCAAAAAACTCCCATCATATACAGATGGCCACTGACTAATGCAAAATCAGGTTTCCATTCATGATCTTTCTTCACAAGCAGTTCTTGTGGTGACATGAAAAATTGTTACCAGTGTTACTGCCTTCTGCTTTTCTACTCTTTCCTCCAAGGAGTTAAAAAAAATCACGAGCAGCATATTTTCCTCTACCTTGATTAGATTTTAGAACCTATGTCTGATTTTTCTGCATGCATTGCATAGTAGACTTCTCTCCCCATCTTCTCCTGGATGTTGCAGGATGAAATATGTTCAAGTCTTTGGAACTTTTAAGCCTGAACTTAGATGGGTTTTAATCTCTTCTGCTGCTCTCTCACAAACAAAGGATTATCAGAGTTCTTGCTGTGCAATAAATGCTATTTTTAAGGGAGGATTTAGACAGTATCCTCATTCTACTTCCTAAGTATGAGCAAACCCTTACTTTAGTTTTGTACAGACAAGAATCACCTTGAGTTTTCTTACATGTTTGTCAGGGGAGGGACAAGAAGTGAAAATCAAACGTGTGCCAAGCCAAGCTCAATGCATGCTCCCTTAGATAATCTTAACCCTGACACAGCTTGTCGCTTTAGTGTTGATACTGCATACGATAGGAATGGTTTTAAAGTGTTTTCTGCATTTGAGTCACTTTATGCTTATAGGCTAGCTATGTCGAGGCTACTCATAAAGATTGTGAATTCCAACTGCACATTTATAGACTACCCTGCCTTCTGGCAGTCAACATATGGGGTGCCTAGATGTCAAACTGCTCACTGAAGGTGTTAGGAAAAGGCACACCTAGTAATATTAATTTGTTTTCATTGTCTTGCAAATAAGCCTAATATCCAGGGCACAGTAAATTGAATCACCCAAAAATCGAGTTTTAAGGTGGCTTTGGGTCAGGAAGGAGAGTGTTGCTTTTCTGATGGTGAATCTCTCCACACCTCACCCTGCTCCCCTAATTCTAGCACCTCACATGCCCACCACTGCAGTGCCCAGTTGCTTTATAGTTTTGCTTCTGTTTCTGTTTTCCACACCTCACTGTGGAAGAGAATGTGCTATGTTCAATGTGTAGTTGGTAAACTCATTAGTAGTCGAT